GGCACACCAACCGGCCGAGGCTGCCATCATCGGGGCCATCTTGTGGGTGATGAACAGTATATGCACTGCCTCGCCCCCTTGCGGTGAAATCAACTCTTAACAGTCACTAGAAAACACACACAAGCGAGAAGCCATTCAATTGTTCTCCGTTGGAGAGGATAAGCTCATCACCCCGAACAAGCATGCGAAGATCCGCAATGAGAGGGAAGTGAGATCAAAAGGTGTAATGCAAAGTGCTGCAGTGAGTCCTGAACAAAATGCATCTGTCGACCCTATACAGTTGAATCCTGAGAGATGCCTGGATGTAGTGGATGTAATGACTCCTGGCAACAATTCCTCTTTCGACCTCATGCAGTTGGATCCTGAGAGATTGCTGGATGTAATGAGCCCTGACGACAATTCCTCTTTCGACCCCATGCAGGTGGATACTGAGAAATGGCTGCTGGAGTGGCTGGAGGGTCAAAGTATTGAGAACTTCTGTTAACTCTTGAAGTCCTGGAACGTGCATGTTTGTGTCTCTGTTAGATCAATCAATTTGGTACACATTATCACTTCCGTGATTTCCAGTACTCCAAGCTCTAGTGATGTTGTGAATGCTCTATGATGTTTTCAAAAAAAAAGTCTTCCTTTTAAGTTCCAGAAGTGTTCCATTATTTCAGGATGACAACAATTTTATACTTCGATAGATGCGTTGCTTTGTCTGGTGGTTGTATCATCGGCACTGTTAAATGTGTGGTGTTTATGGTAGGTGCCACGTGTTGTCATCTTCTCACAGCTACTTGTGTGTTGAAGTTCCTTCTAGACTTCGTCACGTTAAGGTGGTGCTTTGTGGTCATATCGGATTACTTGTTGATGTGGTGTGATCCACAGTGGTTGTGAGGTGGTCCAATTCCTGATTTTACTCTCGTGACTAAGTAGTCTTGTTGAGCTAAAGTGGGAGAAAGACTGTGATCATAACGTTGCCATATATTTTAAACATTCTTCTTCAATTTTCTTTATCGTTTAATTAAGAAAACTACTTCAAAGTGGCTGTTTCGGAATGTGCGTTCGTCGTTCCTGTGTATGATGGCTTGGACTTGTGGACAAATGGCTTCAGTCGACAAGGACGTCAATTGGGAAGGATAAAGACGTTCACGTGTTTTATTTTGGGAATATTTCATGACTGTTGAATTAATGAAAGTGAAATTATTTTCATAGTTCCTTAACTTGTTTGAAAAAGCAAATTAATAAAGATTTTTATGCGAGTTTTAACGTTGAAATTGTTGCAGATTAATAAAGTCCTGATTTGTATTTAAAGATGACTGATCGTACATTATTGCTACCATTTCCTTCCTTAAAAAGAACATGGCCGAGTAGACATGCACACACGAGTGTGCATCCTAACACGACTGTATATATATACAGCGGTGTGCATTCACACACGAGTGTGCATATACAGGGGTGACCATAGATACAGACATACAACGCAGTGTACATACACAGCAGTGTACGAACAGAAGGATTGCGTTCCACTGCAAACACGCACGATTGTACCTGCCTACATACACATACGTAAAGGGCTTTTTTTTTCTCTGAAGAAGAGCTACTCCATGTTGTTTGGCATTCTCCTGACACGAATAAAGTTCTGCATTAACAACCTTCAACCTCATCGGCGTTCCCGGTCGGTAAAGCTGTGGTGGATAAGAGCAATGTCCTTGCAGACTATACGGGGGATTTTTGTCTTTGTGTTGGGAGCAAGTTTGAGTGGCGTGTAGCCGTGGGAGCTGAACGGGCGCGTGCTGCTACTGACAGTCGTTGATTACGGTGGGACAGACGCTGATAGACACACACAGACAAGACAGGCGGACAGACACAGACAAGAGGAACACAGAGACAGAGACGACAAAGACAGAGATACAGGCAGAGAGAGACACAGAGGCGAACAGAGACACAGACGGACAGAGAGATGTTGAACACACTTAACTCGCTCCATTGAAAGAGATTCCTCGATCTTTGCCCATCCCAGGAAGTCGTTCTAGTTTCTATTTATTTCATTGTGTGGTGTGGACGTGTAAGCAATGTGGGATATCGATGTAAACAGCTATGAACAAGATCAGCAGACAAGACGTCTTTCATATTCTTTGGTTCTTTCGGTAAAGTCACGTAGGTAGAAAATAAATCACGACTTTTCGATCGCAACACGAGCGGTCGTCCTCAGGTGAAAATATCCAGACATTGTCACATAAGGTGACCCCCACCCCCCACCGTGGCTCGCCCCGCTCAGCTGAGCATCGTTTTAATGCGGTGGGATCACGCAAAATTGATTTCAGTAAGACGAAGGTACTTTGAAAACCCACTGGCTATACTTTTATATAAGCACGCAACTTCATCTGTGATGAACGCTGCACTTTGTCGCTTTCATGCAGGGGGCGCTGTAAACCTACTAGCCACCTGCATGAACGACGGAGGCGCAGGGACAGACGTTCGATCACGTTGGAATCGATCTGCAGACGGCGGTCTTCTCGCACGGCCAGCTCTGTGTCGCCTTATCTCGATCCCGCGATCCCAACCAGGTGAAAGTCCGCATCGAACCGAACCCCTGGCAAGGCCATCTACTTCACGACGAGAGAAAATTCACATGAAATGTCGTTTTCAATTAAGTCTTCCAGATGTAAAATGATACAAGCTTTTAATTAAGAAATAAAATTATCTATTGCAAAAAAAATACAATTCAAAGTTGTTTCATTTTAAAACTTCAAAACGGAGGATCGGGAGCTGGCGTGAATGTGTCGTTAGTGTGCAATTTTTTTCGTGAGTTTCCTGGCCCAATGCCATAGGCGGTCAGGCTTGCTTCAACCCATGGTTGTTAACATCTAGACGTTAATCAGCAAGGAGCATTTCTAGTCCAAGTTAGACAAAATCTACGTCAACACGTAATACAAAATTATAATCCGTGTTGTAGAGAATGTATCTCCTCTACGTGTAACTTTTAAGTGGTATGCCTTGTAACTGATTAATGATCCGAGTGTGCTCCCTATTGCAAAAACAATGAGTTGCTCCAGAGGCAGACGCTTCCTGAAAACACAAAAATACCCTTTGACCTGTATCACAAGAACAACTGGTCTCACCTGAGTTATCTGTACAGGTTACTTCCAAAACACACACTTTGTCCTAACATCACTTAATCAGTGTTTGACCCTTATAGACAAACTGTTACATGTACGCACACAGACAAGTATTTATTCTAAATTACTAACAGTCTAACAAAATTTAATTACTGCACTGAAATATACTGCATCAGGTTACATCGTATTAACAAGAAGCTATTACTACCGTCTGCTTAACAGTGTATGTACAACATACTATTGCGCCATTTAAAACGAGTAGGTCATTGCATGCTGGCGTCTGGGTCAAAATTGATCAAATTCTAAACATTACCTACAAACTCCACAACTAAGATGCCACATCAACCATCGCCCCCTACTGACAGGCTCTTGTCCACATGCAGGCCGGTGCAGGGCCACCACCTTGTGCCACACAGGGGCAGCTGCTACTTGGGATGCTCTTCGAGTGTTTGAAACGAGATACGATACAAAACTCCGAATTGCCAGAGGCAATTAAGCAAGCACCATTTAAAGGCAATTATTAGAACATAGTGAATGCTTGGGAGCTTATTGGCTCTCACTCCTGGTTAGAGATCTACCCAACCCACGGGTCCACAAAGACTGGCCGCTCTTACCCTGCAGGTTGAACCCAGGAATTGAGTGTTCAACTTCACATTATTGTCATTAAAGGCCTGTGACAAAGGTGCATCTATTCGAGCGACATCGTCTCAAGCTTACACATCTACCGGGTCTCCATTTGACTTTGTATTGTCTCGGAGGAAGTCCACCCACACCTCCACTTCCACAAACTGCTGGGAGTTGCCTCGCTCTGCCTCACAGTCAGAATTCTTCTCCTGCTTCACGTTGCCTCCATCGATGTGAAGGTCCGATTTTGGAGTTGAATCTTCATCTTCACATTTTACCTTCACTTCTTCGCTCTTCACCATCACTTCACATTTCACCTTCACCTCTTCATATTTCACCTTGATACCTTTCAAAGTGTCCAAGCTGGGATTTTCTTCCGGTTCTTGTTTCATGAGGGACGGGCTCATTGCAGCACTTTGACTTTCACAAGCTGATTTCAGACTCCACTCCTTGTGGATCTTCTGATGCTTGTTTGTTCTCTGGTGTCTTTGAAGATGTGGTGACCGTGCAAACGCCATCCTGCACGGAATGCACCTGAAGGGTTTCTCTCCCGTGTGTGTTCTCTGGTGTACATGAAGAGTAGATGAATCTGAAAACGCCTTCTCACACACACTGCACTTGAAGGGTTTCTCTCCTGTGTGAGTTCTCTGGTGTATTACAAGAGTAGATGACTGTGAAAATGCCTTCCTACACACACTGCACTTGAAGGGTTTCTCTCCTGTGTGAGTTCTCTGGTGTATTACAAGAGTATATGACTGTGAAAATGCCTTCCCACACACACTGCACTTGAAGGGTTTCTCTGCTGTGTGAGTTTTCTGGTGTATTACAAGAGTAGATGAATCTGAAAACGCCTTCCCACACACACTGCACTTGAAGGGTTTCTCTCCCGTGTGTGTTCTCTGGTGTACATGAAGAGAAGAAGAATCTGAAAACGCCTTCCTGCACGGAGTGCACTTGAAGGGTTTCTCTCCTGTGTGTGTTCTCTGGTGTTTTTTAAGAGCAAATGGATGTAAAAACGCCTTCCCACACACACTGCACTTGAAGGGTTTTTCTCCCGTGTGTGTTCTCTGGTGTACTACAAGAGTAGATGAACGTGTAAATGCCTTCCCACACACACTGCACTTGAAGGGTTTCTCTCCTGTGTGTGATCTCTGGTGTACATGAAGAGTAGAAGAATCTGAAAACGCCTTCCCGCACGGAGTGCACTTGAAGGGTTTCTCTCCTGTGTGTGTTCTTTGGTGTGTTACAAGAGTAGATGAACGTGCAAACGCCTTCCCACACATACTGCACTTGAAGGGTTTCTCTCCTGTGTGTGTTCTCTGGTGTTTTTTAAAAGCAGATGACCATGCAAATTCCTTCCCACACACACTGCACTTGAAGGGTTTCTCTCCTGTGTGAATTCTCTGGTGCCGTGCCAAATGTGCAGGACGATCCGTGCTGAATGCACACCGGTCGCATTGATGCCTTGTGGTACGGAGCTGTGCCGAGTGCCTTTGCTCCATCAGACATTCTCCAGAGGAAGCTACAGAGGAAGCGTCAGCTGCAGACAGAAAAAAAATATATCCATACAGAGGAATGCATATATACACAGTAACACGTGACTTACACGTCTATACTTATTCATATATTCATGGTACAGTGAAAAAGTTTCTCAAATTCATAACACGGGCTGTTATGGCACACAATGAGAGGGCAAATGGTTATAAACGTGCCTGGAAGCCCTAGTATCTTCAAAATAAATATTAACCCAAAACTCCGAGCACACAATTTCGGCTGTCTGGCTACAAAATAAATATTAATAAAAGCTAAATCCAGCTGACATCGCAAAATGTGTTGAAAATAAAAATATTTGTGTCATGCAGAAATGCATAAATGAATGTTCAATCGCAACTTAGAGGTGTGAAGCCAGCCAGGCTCACGATGTCCATGAATGCTGGGATGAACAGATCTGACTTCAGCTGCATGTGTGTGCTGTGTTGACTGTTTCTATTCTTTGATTTAAAGCTTTCGTGACTGCAGTAATTCATATTCTTAGTTTTTTCGGTAAAGTCACGTTGAAGAGAAACAACAAAATAACAAAATATATATAAAACAATAAAAAATTCTCACGACGTTTCGACCATAACTCAAACGGTCATCATCAGGTGTGATGATGACCGTTTGAGTTATGGTCATCATCAGGTGTGATGATGACCGTTTGAGTTATGGTCGAAACGTCGTGAGAATTTTTTATTGTTTTATATATATTTTGTTATTTTGTTGTTTCTCTTCAACGTGACTTTACCGAAAAAACTAAGAATATGTTTCTATTCTTACAAAGAGTTCCAGAGGAAAACAAAAACAAACTATTGTTGTGATATAACCTCCGTGTTCAGAGTTAATAGACTTTAGTGAAAACACAAACTTGACAGTCACACACTGGCATGGTTCACAGGTGGTGGTGTGTCCAGACCCACGCCTGGCCACCTTCACCTGCTCAGTATTCATGCTTCCTCACTCCACCAAATAATTAATTTATGAACAATCAACATCGTCGAGGCTCTCTCTCAGTGGTGAGATGTTAACAACCTCTACTGGCATACAGGAAGTCGTGGGTTCGATCCCGATCCTGACGCCTGCTGGATATTTGGAGTTTGTGTGTCTCTCTCTCTCTTCCCGTGGTCGCATGGATTTCCCTCCGGATCCTCCGGCTGTCCCCACTCCACATGCAGAGTGAACACCACCACGCGTCTAGAGTGAACACCGCCACGCGTCTAGAGTGAACACCGCCACGCGTCTAGAGTGAACACCGCCACGCGTCTAGAGTGAACACCGCCACGCGTCTAGAGTGAACACCGCCACGCGTCTAGAGTGAACACCGCCACGCGTCTAGAGTGAACACCGCCACGCGTCTAGAGTGAACACCGCCACGCTGTTGACAAGCCTCACCTCGTTGTTGTTGTTGTTGTGGGCAGGTCGCTTCTGAAAACAAGAGCGGTATAGCAGCTCAACGCGGGCTTGGCCTGGAAGTAAAATTAAATAAAAACTGTGAATATTTAAAATAAAAAAGTTACAAAGTGGCCAGCCGTGTGAAGACAAATCAAACATTAAGCAAGAGAATTGAAGCAAATGCGATCAGGCGAGGGCAGGAGGCAAGGCCCCGCGTTGTAAAATTCCAACCTGGACATCGCTTCCATGCTCGCTGCTACTCAGTTGACATCCCTACGAGAGAGAGAGCGAGGCTCTACCTCGGTAAACAACAACAACCACCACAACAACCACCACAACAACCACCACAACAACCACCACAACAACCACCACCACAACAACCACCACCACAACCGCGATGAGAATTTCTCACCTCGGATTTAAGTGCCAAGGCGGAGTGGCAACTTCCTGTTACCTCGCGACGTCACGCGGCAGCAGGTGACATGACGTCACTTGCGGGGTACGACAACACTCCCCTCCCACGATGAGCGGCTCGAAACTCGCGAAGGCTTTGACAAATAAATTATGTTAATGATCCGCCAGTCACCGGGCGTGGCTTTGCCCAAATAAGGATTGGCACTGGAAGATATCGGCAGCGGCCGAGCGGAGGTGACGTCACGCTCAAGAGCGCGGTGGTCAGGGTGGGTGACATGACGTCACTTGCGAGGCACATCTCCCCCTCGCGTTTGACGCCGATGAGGTCACGCTGAGCGTTGACGTCAGAGAGCGGGGTCAGAGTTCAAGTTCGTTGACAAGGGGAGCGGCAGTGACGTGGTGAGCGCTGCGCTCTGCACCCGACCAGCCGAGTTCCATTCCCGCTCGTGGCCAACACCGCCAGTGACGATTTTCTGAACCGGTCCTGAGCCTCCCCTACGTCGACTCGGCCTCAAACGAGTACCCGGTGCGGTGTGTAAACATCGCCACTAGGGAGACAAAGGCGGCCGGGCGTGGTGCTGGCCACCCACCCCCTCGTGTGCCGTGACGACCTCCACGGGTGCTGCTCGCTATGAACAGCACTTTGTAGATGTTGTGGCTTGGCTCTCCAGCACACCGGTGGCGACTTTTCACGATGAAACTTTCACACCCATAAAAAGAACATCGGCATACTTATGCCGATTTTTCGCAAAGTTGGTCCAATTTTCCTAGCTTTATTTTTCAACAAAAAGTGCATTCCTTGGTTGTGTTTAGCCTGAGTAGCCTGTATATGACGTTAAAAAGTGGGGAATTTCATGCATGAAATTTTTAAGTAAAAAGATCAAATCGACATACTTAACCTATGCCGTTCTTGGCCACAATTGGCCAAACTTTCACAGCTTTATTTGTCGTCGAAAATTAATTCCTCCATTGTATTTAACCTTCGTATGCTATGTATTAGATTACAAGTGGGAAATTTCACGATTACATTTTCACGTCCCAAAAAGAAAATCGGCATACTTATGCTGTTTTAAACCAACATAGCCAAATTTTCATAGCTTTAGATTAAAAGTGGAAAATTTTATGATGAAATGTTCACGTTCCAAAGCAGAAAATCGGCATACTAACCTCTGCCGTTTGTGGCTAAAATTTAACTAACTTTTACAGCTTGTATTTTAAAACAAAAAGTGCATTCCTCAGTTGTGTTTAGCCTGAGTAGCCTATATATTACATTAAAAGTGGGAAAGTTCATGAAATTTTGAAGTAAAAAATAAAATCGGCATACTAACCTATGCCGTTTTTGGCCAAAATTGGCCAAACTTTCACAGCTTTATTTTTCGACAAAAGTTCATTCCTCCATTGTATTTAGCCTTAGTATGCTATGTATTAGATTAAAAGTAGAAATTTTCACTGAGAAATGTTCACATCCCAAACAGAAAATTGGCATTTTTGGCTATAATTTGACATTTTTAGAGCTGTATTTTTCAACAAAAAGTGCATTCCTCAGTTGTATTTAGCCTGAAGAGCCGATATATTACATTATAAGTGATTAAAAAAAACTTTTAATAACACGCTTTAATGAAATGTACCGTACTAGTAATGATAGAATTCCACGACTCCAGGAAGTGGCCCCGAAGCTTGCCACAACTTAAGGGACCGTGGTGATTTACAGCCAACGTCAGTTGAGCGAAACATAACATATAAAAAATAATTTTAAAAATATATCTTTTTTATTATATAATATAGTATTGTCATCAGTATGACATAAGTTTACCAAGTTTGCAGTCGATACCACATTGGGAAGTGGGTAAAATTTGAGTTACAAGATTTGAGGATACAAGAGTTAATTTAAAGCGTGTAATAATAGAAAGTGGGAAATTTCACCATGAAATTTTGAAGTAAAAAATCAGCAAAGGGGCATACTAACCCATGCCGTTTTTAGCCAGAATTTGTCAAATTTCACAGCTTAATTTTCAAACAAAAAGTTAATTATTCCATTGTATGTAGCCTTAGTATGCTATATATTAGATTAAAAGTGGGACATTTCACGATGCAATTTTCAGGTCCCAAAAATAAATCGGCATTCTCACCAATGCCATTTTTGGCCAAAATTGGCCAAATTTTCATAGCTAAGAAAAAGTTATTCCTCCTTTTGATTAGCATTAGTATGCCGTATATTACTATAAAGGTTGGATATTTCATGAAGACATTTTCACGTCCCAAAAATAAAATTTGCATAACTTTTTTAGGCTAAAAAACCAAATCGGCATACTAACCTATGCTGTTTTTGGACAAAATTGGGTTAGAGTTAGGCTTAGGGGTTAGAGTTAAGTGTTAGGGTTATGCTCAGGGTTTCGGTTAGGGGTTTGAGTTAGGGGTTAGGGGTAGGGGTTAGGAGTTAGGGTTAAAGGTTAGGGTTGGGTTAGAGTAAGGTTAGGGGTTAGGATTTACGTTTAGGGGTAAGGGTTAGGGTTAGAGGTTAGGGTTGGGTTAGGGGTTAGGGTTAGAAGTTAGGGGTTAGGGTTAGGGGGTAGTGTTAGGGGTTAGGGTTATGGTTCGGGGTTAAGGTTGAGTTAGGGTAGGATTAGCGGTTAGGGGTTAGAAGTTATGGTTAGAGGTTAGTGGAAGGGGTTAGGGGTAGGATTAGTTTGGGTTAGGGATAGGGTTAATGTTTAAGGTTCAGGGTTATAGGGTTAGGGTTACAGGTTTAGGGTTATAAAAATAGGGGTTTTCCCCTTTTTTCTGGCAACAAAACTGAAACCTTTTTACAAGAATTAATGTTTGCATTAACCACAATACCTGCAGTCAAAATGCAAACAAAAAACATTATGATAATATATGCATTGTCCTTGAAACTGATTGGTCCACCTCAAGGAACGCCTTTCTTTTAAGCCTGCATTTTGACTGCAGGTATTGTGGTTAATGCAAACATGAATCCTCGTAAGAAGGTTTCAATTTTGTTGCCAGAAAAAAAGGGGAAAACCCCTATTATTATATTTTGGTACTGGCAAAGGAGGTCTAATGATGTAGATGCTCACCCCCAGCCCTCATTACTTTGATAGTGCATTGTCTTTGAGCTGTACGCCTTTTGGCATCATCTGGTCGAGCACCAATTGGGTCGAGGCTACATTTTCCAAGAAAAAGTGAATTCCTCCCTATTGTTTAGCAATAATATGCTATATATTACATTAAAAGTGAGACATTTTACGATAACATTTTCACGTCTCAAAAATAAAATCAGCATACTAACCTATGCCGCTTTTGACCAAAAATTCCAAAGCTAGATTTTCCAAGAAAAAGTGAATTCCTACATTTTGTTTATATTACGTTAAAAGTGGGACATTTTACCATGAAATTTTTAAGTAAATAAAATAAATTCGGCATACTAACCTATGCCGTTTTTGGAAAAATTGGCCAAATTTTCACAGCTTTATTTTTCAACAAAAAGTTCATTCCTCCATTGTATTTAGCCTTAGTATGCTATGTTTTAGATTCAAAGTGGAAAATTTCACTATGAAATGTTCACGTCCCAAACAGAAAATCGGCATACTAACCTATGCCTTTTTTTTTTTGCAAAGATTGTACAATTTTGACAGCTGCATTTTTCAACAAAAAGTGCATTCCTCGGTTGTGTTTAGCCTTAGTATCTTAGATATAAAAGTCTCCGCGCACGGCGCGCTTGCGAGGGATTTGGCTCTCAAACAGTGGGGCAGCACGCCCTAAGCCCCGCGGTGGGCACGGGCTATTCCGTTTTCCCATCCGTAAACTTTAAAATAGTTTAATTAACAATGTAGGTCGATTTTCTTTATTTACTTCCTCCCCCCGCTCAAGCTGCACGGGGATTGCCCCTAGCAACGCACGCGCGTCATCGGTGGAGGGTGGGGGGGATTTCGCGTTCAAAATGCTAAAAAAATACACGCAACAGAGGTAAATTCATCCAAGTGTCATGTCCTCTTCTCTCCCCCCCCCCACCCCAATGTGTGCACTTACTACTGTAGGCTCAATACATACTAATATTATAGCGCTTAGATAGTATTATTGTAGTATTATTGTAGCTCTGGCGGGGAGATGGTAGGGGGGGCGGGGGTAGCGGCCCAGCCCCCAGTCTGGCAATGTGTCAGCTCCTCCGGTTGGACAATCTAGGCGAGGCCACGGGCTCTGCACGGGACTAGGCCTCACCACGGAACTCTGTCAGGTGAGTACTTTGTGCTATAGAGTCGATAAATACTGCTATAGAGTCAGCATGTACTACTGTAGTGATAGCAGGTACCACCACAGTCGGTATGCACTGCTGTAATCATACAGGTACCACCACAGTCAGTATGCACTGCTGTAATCATAGCAGGTACCACCACAGTCGGTATGCACTGCTGTAATCATACAGGTACCACCACAGTCAGTATGCACTGCTGTAATCATACAGGAACAAGCACTACAGTCGGTAAGCACTGCTGTAATGAAACCAGATACCACCACAGTATGCACTGCTGTAATCATAGCAGCTCCCACCACACTCAGCGTGCACTGCTCTAATCATAGCAGGTGTAGTGGTCGACTTCACACGGACGACTCCTTCGTTTCTCCGACACCACTTTTATTACAAACTCTCCACATTCAACACCTGTGACTTCATCGTTTCTCTCGCTCGCCGCCGCTTGCTCGCCTCGCTCCGCTTGCCTCGCTCGCTCCGCTCCCTTCCCTGTCTCTCGCTGTCTCTCCTCGTTGCCTCTGTCTCCTCCGTCGCTGTCTCTCTCTTTCTGTCTCACTCTGTATCTCTCTCACTCTGTATCTCTGTCTCTCTTTGTCTCCGTCTCACTCTGTATCTCTCTCACTCTGTATCTCTGTCTCACTCTGTATCTGTCTCACTTTGTATCCGTCTCACTCTGTATCTGTCTCACTCTGTATCTCTGTCTCACTCTGTATCTGTCTCACTCTGTATCTGTCTCACTCTGTCTGTCTCCTCTGTCTCTGTCTCACTCTGTATCTCTGTCTCACTCTGTATCTGTCTCACTCTGTCTCTGTTCCACTCTGTATCTCTGTTCCACTCTGTATCTCTGTCTCACTCTGTCTCACTTTGTCTTTGTTCCACTCTGTATCTCTGTCTCACTCTGTCTCTCTGTCTCACTGTCTTTGTTCCACTCTGTATCTCTGTTTCACTCTGTATCTCGCTGTCGCTCGCCATCTCTCGTTGCCTCTCACGATCTCTCTCTGTCTCTATCTCGTCTCCGTCTCCCTCTGTCTCTCCCTGTCTCTCCCGGTCTCTGTCTTATCTCTATGCGTTCCTCCTTGTCTGTCTTGTCTCTTGTTCCACTGCTAGCCTGTTCTGTCTCTCATGTCTTCTCTCCATCTCCCCCCGACCTGCTCCGTTCCAGTCCCAGCGACAACTCAACTCCACTCTCTCGTCCCCGAATATATCCCCGTCCTCATCAACTACCATTAAG